TGGTGGAAAGCCAGCGACTAACTGCTTGAGCTATGGCGCGGCCTTTCTGAAGTTGTTACATACCGATATACAGACAGATATGATAAAGCTATTTAGATCACTTTTGAAACACTTTTTTCCTCTACGAACTCGCTAACGCGGGTTCAATTCCCGATGATGCCATTGGATTTTTTTCAGTTGACCTAATCCTTCCAGCCGCACTAGGCCCTGGGGTTTACTCAGCCTCTAACAGAAATGAGTACCAGGAATTAATTAAATAATTTTCCTGGGGAGTAAAGCTCGGCCGGCCCGTAGGGCTGACAACCTTACCGCCATCTTTGAGCCGATTGCCTAGACAATGTGGGACCCTCAACGTCTCACAACCATATGGGCCTTCACGGACTGGTACGGGGATAGCTTTACTTTACTTTTCTTTTCTTTTTTCTCGCTAAAAATGCAAGTACTACTGTAGGTTATTGATTGATTGTATTTGGCAGTGAATATGTTTCGGCCCGCCTATGGGGCCAGATACGTCTCAGGTTATTAAACTGACTAATATGGAGCTACAATAATAATAATGATCAAAACAACGAAAGTGAACTATACCGACCGAGCGACCGCCGCTTGTCGGCGAAATTAATGCCAACTTTAGAGGATAGAGGGTGTTACGTGGTCAGTGCAACGGATCCACAAGGCCGTTAATTTCGGATTTCTAGACCGGAGCCGCTACTGTTCCATTCAAGTAACTCCTCAAGTACCCTCACGAGGCTGACTGGACCCCGTTTCAGACCCACTACTGTTCAGAAAATCTAGTAGCGCCGGGAATCGAACCAGGACCTCTGGATCTGTAGCCAGGAACTCTGAGCACTAGACCACAGAGGCGGTCTAATAATAATGATTATAACCTTTAAATCTAAAATTATTTAATATTAAAAAAAATTAAAGAATTTTAAATTTAAATTCTAGTAAATTTTAAAAGTAAAAAATTCTTGCAACTTCGCGACATTTTTATGTATTTCATGATTGTGTATACTAATATGGATCCATATTATGTCAGTTCGATAACAAGAGATGTGTATGATGCAACTGCCTGAAGATGTGCCTGATACACAACAGGATGTAAGCAGTGAAGATTGTGTAGACCAACATTATTACTTATCACCAAGACAATTAGGGGAGAAAGATTCTAACCGAGCACCTCATAAACACAAATCAAGAGCTCTTTTTTTTTTAGATCAACCTGTTCGGTTGCCCAAATTTCAATCCCTTATACGCTTCTGGCTCAGGTATGAATGTACTCGTATGAATGAATGTATAAGGGGTGGGCTTTCTCGGCCCTTGCACCCGCGACTTACAGTGATCTATTGTGCTTCCCCTTTTGATTATCGCCTCAGCAATCCCGCACTTCGAATGAAGCGCAGGATTTTGTACGTGGGGGCGTCGAAATAGTCACTTGGTTCCATAAAGTATTGACCCAAGTGACGCAATCTTAGATAAGCTAAGGCCTCACATTCGCACAGGATATGTGTGACCGTTTCATTTTCTTCTTGACACCTCTCACAAGTGGGACTATCACTTAGTCCCAGTTTGAAGAGGTGTCCTTTGAGGTGACAATGTCCTGTAAGTAGTCCTACCACCCATCGTAGCTGTTTCCTGTTTAACTTCAACAGTTCCTTCGCTCTTTTAGTAGAGGGTCCTCGTATGAGTCCCGTTGCTTGCCTGAGTCCAGTCAAGGATCCCCAGTATTTCTTGTGCTTCATATTTGTCCAGTCCCCGATTGGCTTTCTGGCGACTCCTATAGAGATGCCACAGGCTGGTTCAGGTCCTATGAACGGATGGTCAGCTCCAGTCTTTCTGGTTCAGGTAAATGTAACATATTTGTTCTGTAATGATGTCACAGCACCGCTCGAGACAAAAGAGACGACGAGTTAGCCAGCTGGCTCCGTTCCGGTAAAATGATATTTTAATATTAATAACGGCCATATGTCCACAGATTTTTACATTACACGAGACAGGTGTTGATCTTGTGTTATTATTGCTCCGTTTACTGCCATGAAGGCCAGTAATTGCCAATTAAAATTCTTGTTTAACAAGTACGATATGCTGATATCGAGATTGTTGCCATAGTGACGGGAACGTATTAACGTCACGAGAAGCAGTGTTGCTCGTGGCTGCATTTGAGCTGCATAAGCTTCACGATGAGATCTGAAAAAGATCAATGATTTTATACGATGACAAACTTAATCGTTTGATGGTGATGATTTGTAAGTCCGTCCCTCTGTTGTCCTACTCCGTCGTTGAACTACACAATTATAATGGGCTAAGGAAGTGGTTCTGAAACTGTGGGGCGCGACCCCCAAGGGGGGCGCGAAGGCCTTGAAAGGGGGGGGGCAGCATACTTTCCTACAGACAAAAATTAAAACTGCCCTAAATCAATTAGAAAAGTAACAAAAAGTAAGAATACATATAGAAAAACTTTTGATGAGTACAGGCTTTAATTATCATGAATTTCAAAATAACTAATAATTATTCTCTTTGCCGGAAATTATAAAACGCGTATGCCAGAGACAGCGTTGATGGTTCGGCAGCAGCCGCATCCTCTGAAATCCTCTGAAGTCTAGACTTTTTAAAATGCTGTGTGAGGAAATGGGTGCCGAACACACTGCTCTGTTGTTTTTTAGTAATGCTCGATGGCTTTCAAGAGGCAAGGTATTAAAAAGAATGTTTCAGCTGAGGCATGAGGTGTTCTGTTTTTTAAATAGGGAAAATCACTCACTGGCAGACAGTTTCAGCAACAAGGATTTTTTTATTGAAAATGGCTCACCTCACAGATATATTTGAGAAACTAAATATCCTCAACACTTCACTTCAAGGGAATGAGGCAACTGTACTTTCTTGGAATGACAAAGTGAAGACATTCATGAGAAAATTAGAGCTCTGGAGAAACAGTATGGAAAGTGACACGCTAGACATGTTCCCTACTCTGGTGTCAATGGTACAAGACACTGATAATCCAGTGCTTCCAATGGACATAAAAAGCTGCCTACTTGATCATCTCATAATGTTGACAGTTCATTTCGAAAAAATACTTTTGCAATGATTTTGATAAATTTAATTGGATTAAAAATCCATTCGAAAATGCTCCTGGGCCATCATCTCTGAAGGTAAATGAGCAAGAACAACTCATCGATCTCACTAGTGATACTTCACTAAAAGGTAAATTTAAGGAATTGTCTTTGTTGGAGTTCTGGATACACATTGGCATGGAATTCCAAACTTTGAGCCGAAAAGCATTGAAAATCTTGATTCCTTTCGCAATAACTTACTTATGCGAGACAGGCTTTTCTGCTTTGGCAGCTATAAAGTCAAAGTATCGTTCAAGGCTAAATATTGCTAAAGAAGTTAGAGTGGCCATTTCTGATATTACGCCACGTTTTGATAAACTTTGTTCTCAAATGCAGGCCCATCCATCACACTGAACTTTGACTGTCTGCCAGTGAGTGATTTTCCCCATTAAAAAACAGAATACCTCATGCCTCAGCTTAAACATTGTCTTTAATACCCTGTCTCTTGAAAGCCATCGAGCATCACTAAAAAACAACAGAGCAGTGTGTTCGGCACCAATTTCCTCACACAGCATTTTAAAAAGTCTAGACTTCAGAGGATTTCAGAGGATGCGGCTGCTACCGAACTACCAAGGCTGTCTCTGACATATGCGTTTTATAATTGCCGGTAAAGAGAATAATTATTAGTTATTTTGAAATTCATGATAATTAAAGCCTGTACTCATCAAAAGTTTTTCTATATGGATTTTTATTTTTTGTTGCTTTTCTAATTAATTTAGGCAGTTTTAATTTTTATCTGTAGGAAAGTATGCTGCGACCACCCTTTCAAGCCCTCCCCCCTGTGGGTCGCGCCCCACAGTTTGAGAACCACTGGCTTACCTGGACGCTGTGTGAGTGCGGGTACACTCGTGCGAAATTACGGTACAACAAACATAATCCCTACTCAGAAAGACAAAGCCCTCTTGTCGTCAAAGAGGTGGCCCCATTTTCGAACACGTAAATGGAAGGTACATAAATTTGGCCATGAGACCAGAATGGACCAGAAGCCAAGAATAACTGCGCTGGTGAGGGCCAACAGCAATTTACTGCAATGCTTTCTTGTCACGTGGTTCTACAAAGAACAATCGGGGATTCACGCTAGATGATACTTTATCATGAATAAAGTAAAAACAGTGGGGGATCTATTTAACATGATATCTGTTCGCCTCAGAAACACACGTGCGGCTCCGAATGGGCTCTGCAATAACCAGCTGTAGTATGTCGTAACAAGGAAGTTGCTTGTTTTAATAGCAGGTAGGTACAACAGGCTTATATGTCTGCGTGTCATGTACGACGTATCAGGTAATTAGTAATTTGGAAGTCACGGATTCTTTTATTATGGAAGTCCTGATGTAACGAACTTTAATTTTGCAACGGTAGCGGTAGCATAGTGGTTGAGGAGCTATGCTACAAGCCAGAAGGTCGCGGGTTCAAGTCCCGATGAGCTCATTGGATTTTTTCAGTTGACCTAATCCTTCCAGGCGCACTAGACTCTGGGGTTTACTCAGCCTCTAACAGAAATGAGTACCAATAATTAATTAAATAATTTTCCTGGGGAGCGGCCGGCGCGTAGGGCTGACAACCTTACCGCCATCTGTGAGCCGATTGTCTAGATATTGTGGGAACCTCAACATCTCACGGCCTGGTACAGGGATAGCTTTACTTTTTTTAAGTGTGTTTCATCTCTGGGATGTACTGCCAAAGTTCTGAGCCGTAGAATTTGTGGCATTCTTATATACAGAATGATTCATTTTATATACAGGATAATTCACGAAGCGTCTGCCACATTTCATATGTGCATTGATTACGTGATTCTGAGTAAGAAAATTGTCATTAGCATGGATCAGTAGTTTGAAAGTAAGGTGATAGTCTTGATAGAAAGAAGAGGATTTAATGAAAAATGTTCACAATAAACTTAATGCAAAACTACAATTTTATTAAAACTGGAACAAGCTACAAGAACAGCCGATAGTGATCGCCTGCGACTTGAATTCATTTGACCTCAGAATTATCTTGTGAATTTCAGTCATACGCGCCTGTTACAAACGGTTATCTTTATCGGCTTTGTACTTTTCTGTATTTGTAACTAACTCCTTGTTGATATAGCATATAGATTATCGTTCACTATTTTGTATTTAGCACTGTAGCAGGTGGGAAAAAGCCAGTCTTCATGCGTTTGGTCTTGTTGGTACCCGGAAGTTCCGGCAAACCGCTTCCTCTTGCAACTGCATTTCCTAAACGCACTTCGATCCCTCGTAGAGTTTGAAATACTCTGAAAGTAAAACAACAAAAGCATGTGACTATTTGATATTTTCTTGTTTATTTGACATTGGCAACATCTAGACTATACAGAGTGTCCACGAGGAAATGACAGCTTTTTGGGAGGTCACAGTATCGGTCATTATAAGCAAAAAAGCGTATAAGTGAATTTGTCAAATTCCGAACGGTTTCTGAGATAGAGCTATTTCACTGTACAGTTCCAGAATTGTTGTTAAGAAAGATATATTACGTACTGTTTCTAATGCCGGTATTTATTGTTCAAGTGACAAAGTTGGTACAGTTTACCTAGTATAATACATTTTTAAGGTCTTTCATTCTGGTCCGTCACACTAACCAATTAACAATCAAGTTCCTTCCGTCAAATGTGACACTTTTTTAAGTTTTCCACCTCGTCACCACCTGCCTTACATGTTTCGGCTCACCACGGAGCCATCATCAGAGGCATTTATAGTAGAAAAAGAAATCACCAACACACAAAACTTCACTTTGTCCAAGATAGCCACGTTCCAGTTAATTAAAATAATTACAAATAGTT